ATTGAACCGCAAGAGCAATAGTTCTTTGCTTGCATTCATACCTCTGTGGAACTAGAGCATTGAACCGCACGAGCAATAGTTCTTTGCTTGCACTCATTCCTCTGTGGAACTAGAGCATTGAACCGCACGAGCAATAGTTCTTTGCTTGCATTCATACCTCTGTGGAACTAGAGCATTGAACCGCACGAGCAATAGTTCTTTGTTTGCACTCATACCTCTGTGGAACTAGAGCATTGAAGCGCACGAGCAATAGTTATTTGCTTGCACTCATACCTCTGTGGAACTAGAGCATTGAACCGCACGAGCAATAGTTCTTTGCTTGCACTCATACCTCTGTGGAACTAGAGCATTGAATCGCAAGAGCAATAGTTCTTTGCTTGCATTCATACCTCTGTGGAACTAGAGCATTGAACCGCACGAGCAATAGTTATTTTCTTGCACTCATACCTCTGTGGAACTAGAGCATTGAAGCGCACGAGCAATAGTTCTTTGCTTGCATTCATACCTCTGTGGAACTAGAGCATTGAACCGCAAGAGCAATAGTTCTTTGCTTGCATTCATACCTCTGTGGAACTAGAGCATTGAACCGCACGAGCAATAGTTCTTTGCTTGCACTCATTCCTCTGTGGAACTAGAGCATTGAACCGCAAGAGCAATAGTTCTTTGCTTGCACTCATACCTCTGTGGAACTAGAGCATTGAACCGCACGAGCAATAGTTATTTGCTTGCACTCATACCTCTGTGGAACTAGAGCATTGAAGCGCACGAGCAATAGTTATTTGCTTGCACTCATACCTCTGTGGAACTAGAGTATTGAACCGCAAGAGCAATAGTTCTTTGCTTGCATTCATACCTCTGTGGAACTAGAGCATTGAACCGCACGAGCAATAGTTCTTTGCTTGCACTCATTCCTCTGTGGAACTAGAGCATTGAACCGCANTTACCCCCTTAGGCCCACTTACAAGGACCCCAAAGCACATGTGTCTTTTAACCGGATGAGCTTTCCAGACACATTTGGCAGTGGTGGACCAGAGTGTCCAAAAATACCGGAACAACATATTTAAGATTTCATGCAGAAGCTACCCAAAAATCGTGAGCCCTGGCGGCCTACCGGCAATTTCCGGCTGCCCAGTCAATCCCTGGAAGCCATCCAGCGGAATAGCCATGGTTAGTGACACACAAGGCGGGCAAAGATTTTTGCCACCCCCCTCTTCAACTGCAGGTTTCCGAAGAATATAATATAAAGGGAAAAAAAGTGTCCCGGGGGTGTACCGCCCCTTCTTTCTACGCCAATGCATCCACCGCCCAATATAGCCATGGTCATCTTCGCATGCGAATGATGATCAGTATATGTGATCTCCTTCATGAACCCAAATATTTAATTTGGGGGCGTCCATTAATTACGTCAACAATTCAAACTTTCAATGACCCCCCCCCCTTAAATTATGTCAAAATTTTCTCCCCCCCCCCCCTTCCAAAAAAAAAAGGAATTATATTATAAATACATTTATAAATACAATTTACTTTGTGCTGATCTATTTTAATGACAATAAAATTGTAGGAAAAATATTTCATTACATCTTTAGCTTGTTAATCAATAAGTTAAAAAATTTTGCACTTAAATTTTATAATGCAGAATCAATTGAAAGATTGTTAAATACTAAATATCATTGTTTGTGGTATAAATATGATTATTGTCAGTAAAGCTGACTATTATAGTACAGTTTCTAGCTGCTATAATCTTCCAAAGAAGTAGCCAGGTTTGCTCTATCGTAACAATGGGCATCAGAGACATCATTTGGGTAGGGCAGAGGGTATATGCCCCCACCCCCCTAATTTGCAGGTTTTACTTAAATATCTATGTACTGTTGCACCTCCAGTAATAAACAACTCAACAAGCTGAACAAGTTTTGTTTTGCCCCCCCCTCCCCACACTGAAAACAACAATGAAATGACGCCCCTGATGGGCATAGTCTATTGCAGCTGATTGATCATTTTAATCTTACGGCACTGATATACCAGACATGTCAACATCATCCTCATCCAACCATTCAGCACTTAAAATAGAAGCATTGTCAGTGTGAGCAATAATTGCCATAAGCTCTCTCTAACTCGCATTGATCGAATCCTTTTTTGTTGAGGAGCAGATGCTTATTTCTTATGCTCAAGAGGGCATTGTCGGTTCTGTTGAACATGCTTTTTCAACATGACTTGTAATGCAAAATAGATGTTACAGATTTTGCAAATCCGTTCAAGCAGCGATGTTATTATTGTCACTCATTTTACATTCACCTAATTCTCAAAATAGCCTATATTCCCACTCTATCAATATCATCTATCTTGACTTCACATGACACTGGAACCTTGACCTTGTCCCATACCTGCAACAGTATCTACAGGTGAAGAGAGGCCAAATTTTGACTTCTCTTGAAAGTGTGCTAACATTCTGACCAGCCACCTGCAGTGCACAGGCACACATTAAATAAATCTTATATTGTTAAAAGCCTAAAACTTATATGACTATTTACAGCCATTTACATTTTTTTTTTAATAATCAAAATAATATAATAACCAGTAATTTTTAAGATTAAAGTTTTAACTGAGAAAACATGATTACTGACGTCAACTAATCTAAACCCCCCTCCCTCCCCCTTGTCAACAACTGTCAAACATTTCCACCCCCTCCCCCTATTTTGTTAACGTAATAAATGGACGCCCCCCTTCCAATAACACTGGCGTAGGAAGTGTGGGTGGAGGGGGCGTTCCGATCCGGGCGGAAATAATCCTAGCTACGCCACTGAGCCAATAATTTATTCAAATATTATTAACTAAACATTTCTAAATTTTAAAAAGGGGGGGGGGGCGGGGTGAAAAATAAATTTGTTATTTAAAATAAAGTAAGGTTGTGTATGTGTGTGCCACAAAGAAAAAATAAAAATAATTACAAGGGGTTAACAGAGTACAACTTTTGTTAAACCAGGTCCGGTCATTGTGGGGAAATACACGGTAGCCCCAAGTGTTATTTAAGAAAAAAAAAGTTTGCTTCTCATTTTCTATAGAATATGCCGGCCTTTAAACACTAGGCGTACCAGACAGTCTTACCCCATAAACGTGCCTCTTCATTGATTAATATAGTATTCGATTCAACCTAAAAAGGGGGTGGGGGGATCAACCTTTTTACCTGAGTTTAACCGTCGCTCCTGACGCTCGCTATGTGGCAGCCCCCAGCCCCCCCCCCCCCCCCTCCCCCCTCAGTACTATTAATATAAAACATGTAGAGTAGTGACGTAGTGGGAGGGCCGGTTGTGGAAAGGAAGCAGGGCACGCCAGAAGTAAATAAATGTATATAAGAGATTGGGAACATTGGTAGAAAGTAGTCTCTTTGATGTAACTGCTGGCTCCCGTCACACCCACTGACACCACGTTTTGCTGCCACACTGACATGGGAGCTACTCATTGATCACGCTGGGTACGGGACTTATTTTTAGCTCCTCTTTTGGTTGGCCAGTTACACAGACATAATTAGGGACACCGTTTGCAATCATCTCCGAGCTCGGCTATCTGCCCGTGTTCGTGCTGTGATTATTCGTCTTGTGGAATTTGACACTTATTTCTTTTCTTTTTTTTTTTAATGTATTGTTTCTTGGCTATATTAAGAAATAATTTTAGCATCGAGTGAAAATTCTTTCCATACATTTTATCAAGCTTGCGTTGTTCATTTGCGCGTAAATCTTCAATTACCGGTAACAAATAGTGACTAATATAAAATATTATATATCATGCGATAAATGCAACAAACATTTGCCAAAAAAAAAAATTGTTTAGTAGATATCTGAATTTGATATTATCACGTCACGTGAGCTAAACTTAGATGTTCATTTCTTTTTCCTCAGCACTTAAATATAAAAAATTACAAGGAGAGACATGTGCACTTAAAAAAAAAAAAAAAAAAAAAAAAATAAAAAGAAAAAAAAGTGCACATAAAAAAAAAAAAAAAAAAAAAAAGACGGGATCCTCTATCTTATAAAGGTTGAGAGGATCAGATTTGCCACATTATCGTTGTGGAGAAGAGTCCACTTAAACTTTGAAATATTTAAATTAAAAGGTTCGCATACATATTCCACTGCAGTTTTTCTCTAATCTGTTCAAAGGAACGTTGACATATTTTTTTTTTTTTTTAAATTTGCTTCTTTAAAGTAGTACACCGCCATCGTAGTTATATTTTGTCCCGCCGCCTAAGTAAGAACCCCCCCCCCCC